GGGGGGGGGGGGGGATGGGCACTGCTGGAATTGACTGATGCATTATATTAGTACACAACATTTCAAAGTAGATTTCAAGGGACAACAATCAACCGTCATATCATATCTGATCCACACAAACTTCAAGAAGTGCCTCTGATTAGTAAATAAAGTTTTCCCCATTGGTGCAAGACTATACGCATAATTGATCCAGTTAACATGCCAGGCAGAATCCTCCAAAGCTTCTAACGAAAAAATTCAACCAGTTTTAATGTCAGAATGGGTGCCATTCTTGCACTGTATATTGTTAACGTGTGCTCAGTGTACAGAGCTTACCAGACATCTATTGTTTATGTTTGAACCACCAGAAACAATTTAGCTGTGTGTGTTATAACCTTTTGAACATCTGTGTTTTAACGGCCGATCAGTTCCGCGGGGTTTTCAAAACGGGGTTTGAGCCGGTACCCGACGAGCATTTGATCTCAAACTTCTGAGGAAATAAATGCATAAGTGAAAAAGTGAACAGTGCAGCTATTATATCCGTATACCTTTCTAATTTCGATCAGTGCAAGAGAAATGTTTGGTGGTTATTCTGCTGTCATTCAAACGCACATTTTTCAGATTTGTTAGCACGAGTACATTTACGACGATGAAGCGAGGCCAATTGACTATGCCGTCTTTTATTGCCAAGTGTTAAGAAGTCACGAAGGCAAACAGGTAAAGAAATATCATGTGCTGTTCCGGTTTTGAAACTGACTGTAAAACAATTGGCTCATGACACTGTTATTATTAAGCTGAATTGACCACACATCGACCAAGCCCTCCACGCGGCCGCGTAGTGAATGCGAATGCAGCCTCCATCGTGACTTGTTACTCATTCAGTTAAGGCCAGAAGTGCTCCAAATGTTTGGTATCTGGTCACTTCGCCCCTTAGTCATTTCGAGGTCACTTCGCTCCACACAAAAGTTACTTCGCTCCATGATATTATGTAAGTGTATATATGCTTACAATATTGTCTCTATTTGCCTAACTGATGTTATAGTCGTCCCAGTTATAAATACGCGCGATCTAGATGACACGTTTGTAATTGTTAGTTTCACGCGCCCTAATCTCTCTCTGTCCCCCACGCCATGCCGATGTTGTTGATGCGTTCGTTGGTAATTCGCGCTCGTTGATCGATGACCGATCGAATTTCAAAAACTGTAACCCTGTAGAGTATAAATTGCATGTAAAAACCTCTTTGTTAAACATGTTCGTTGTTAAAGGACTTAAAAGCGACCGAGATCTTGGCGTAGTTAAAGTGCAATTGTGTCTAAATATCTTTGTTTGATTACGCGCGTTGTTTAGTGTTCACTTGTAACACTTACATAGCAACGAAGTCAAACAAAGTCCGTTGAACGATCGATGGCCGATCGTATTTGAAAAACTTTGAAAACCATCCATGGCTTTATGCGCGTTGTTTAATAAACTGCCCTCAAAACCTTTGTTATTGAGTCTAAATGTATTTGATTTATTGCGTGTGTAGTTGCACAGAACTTCTGTTAAATGAAACTGTATTGTTGTTTTCTTGCCACACGTACCCACGCGTAATGTGTGAACTTATGTTAATTCAAGGTGAGACTTTTTTGGGGGGACACAACGCGCCGACCTTTCAAAGACTTGTTTATTCGAAAATTCGGAATACGACCCTAACCCCAACTATTTGTGTTACCTTAAAAGACTCTATCACTCTTGGATTAGTGAACTTGCAACGTAATGCTTTTCTACATGGAGCGAAGTAACTTCTGTATGCGACGAAGTGACTTTTGTATGGGGCGAAGTGACTTTTGGTTGGAGCGAAGTGACTGGGGGCGAAATGACCATGGGGCGAAGAGAACGTAATTCAAATGTTTTCTAAGCGATAGTTTGAAGGGTGTCTTAACAATAAAACCCTTCAACAATGCGAGTCTTTGGAAACAAAAAAAATATATATCGAAGCAGAAATGAAACGAGATTGCTGATTTTGTAGTGATAATTCATGTAACAAATGTATGTGCAGAAATATATCAACGAAAGCTGATTAATCTGCAGTTCTTTTTCATTATGAAAACTTACACGGTCCGTATTTTCTTGAAATTGCATAAATAAAAAATAATAACGATAACATTACAGTTGATTTACGTTAATACAATTCAATCAATCAATCAATGTAACGAGAATCAATGGAATAAAAAGCAGTATAATTATATATTCCAAAGAAACTCATCTAGGGGTATCGAATAGTCCCATTCAATTTAACAGTGCTCGCAAAATTTGGCCTTTGCTCGAACTGCTCGCAAAAAGTAGATGAGCGCTCGCTTGGTCATGCTCGCAAAATTGTTTCAACTGCTCACATGCTCGGACTCTGATTAACTGAATTCTCTGCCGTGTAGCGGAAGCACAATTTGCCTCTTGAAAACAAAAATAGACGCTGGGAATATTAATTAAGTAATAATTAAACATCATTTCGCATTTCGTTTTAGCTTTGCTTTGAATAAAAAATATTTCGAATGACAGCTTTTTACGACCAAAATTTTTGCAATAATGTTTAGTGTTGCTACTATCGCTAAAATATTCGATTGCAGAATTGTTCATAGTTTTTCACCATCGAATTCATCCCAAACTTAGAAAGCTTAGAAATTGAAACGAATTAAGCTAAACGATTTTAGTGCAACTGATAAACCACGTAATTCAAGAGAAAATAGGTTTTGACAACTTGGCTAATACTACCATTTTCGAGCTACCGTGAACGGCTAACTTTTTTCCGCGTTGTTCCACGCTTCAAACATTCAGGTTTGTCTAGACAAACTGCCGCGTTTTTTAATTGAACCAATTAACGTTTAGAGCGTGAACACGTCAAGTTTTGACAGCTCCGCCTGAATGTT